CAGATGTGTGAGCAGTATTCTAAGCAGGGGCGGATAAGACCTTTGTAAATTTTAAGTAACTGCAATGAGGAAAAGTAATAACGAAAACGAAACAAAACCCCAATTTTTTGGATGAAGATTTAGAAATTTGGATTATGTCATTCCTCCAAGACAAGTTAGAGGCTATATGGATTCCTAATATATTGATAGACTTAAGAGGGTAAATTTCTTTAGTTTCGAAGTCAATAGGGTTATCAGGAGGAGAAGATGATAAAGGAAAATAACATCAAGTATAGTGCACACAGATTATATATATATATATATATATATATATATATATATATATATATATATATATATATATATATATATATATATATATATATATACACACACACAAACATACATAGACAGACAACTGCAATATCACTGGGAGTGCCCATGTGCACGTCCCCATGTACAGTTATCTGAATAAAAATAAAAGACGGACGGACACACAATATATATATATATATATATATATATATATATATATATATATATATATATATATATATATATATATATATATCACATCATACGCAACTATATTCCATAAAATATTTTACAGCCATGTATAAGATATGAAAATTGTGAACTTAAGACTGAGTTTCAAAACAAAAAATTAAAACCAAACACACGTAAGTTTACATGTGAGTATATTGTTCTATATATCTGTATATGTGTGTTAAGTCTGTCAATTCAATGAAGGAGGGAGAGAGAGAGAGAGAGAGGAGAGAGAGAGAGAGAGAGAGAGAGAGAGAGAGAGAGAGAGAGAGAGAGAGAGAGAGAGAGAGAGAGGAGAGAGAGAGAGAGAGAGAGGTGGAAGTAATTGAAGATGTCTGTTAACACTTCCGGTGGTTCTCAGGGGGCTTACTTCCGGTGAGGGAAGTCTTAAATAAGGAAGAGCAAAGGGGGGGGGGAGAGGAAGGAAAGGGGAGATGGGGAGGGAAGGATAAAAAGACTAATTTAGAAATAACTAATTTTCCCTTTAATAATAATAATGACAATAATATTAATAATAATAATTATTATTATTATTATTTAAAATGGGGTGGATGAGTTATTGTTGTTGTTGTTGTTGTTATTGTTATTATTATTACTGTAGTCACCGTGACTCAAACGGTAGCGTCCGCAACTCTGAGGCGTCAGGTCGAGGTTTCGCGTCCCGTCACGGTCTGAGGTTAGCAAGGACATGCACTCAGGTTAATGATTACAACCGTCCTAGCCCTTGGTTAAAAAGGGAATCCGTGACGTAAAATCGGAAAAAATTACCATTATTATTATTATTATTAATATTACTGATGAAAATCAATAATAATAATAATGATAATAATAATAATAATAATGATAATAACAATAAAGCAGGAGCAGGAGGGGTCAGAAGGGAGGAGCAGAGGCGTTCTTTGCATAACCAAGAATTAGTCATTGAAGAAAATCAATATTGATGACGTCACGAGGGTTTCGTCTACTGCATCATAGAATAAAAAAAAAATAGATGGTGGGAATGGGGGAGGTAAGAATCGGGAATAGATGGAGGGGGAGTGGGAATCGATGCGTGGGTGAGGCCAATGGTTTCCAAAGGACAAAATAATACATAACAGGAATTTGGCCATGGCTACCAAAGGGCCATGGATTCTTCACCCCTCTCCCAACCGCCAATAGAACTACAGGTACCCCACCTAATCTCCTCTTCAATTTATCAAAGATATCAGCAACACACACACACACACACACATACATATGAAACTATTTCACCAGAAGTACTAGAACTTTGTAATATAACTATTAATACTACTAAGGGGAAAAACCATAACTGAGTACCCAAGTCCTATGAGCTTGTGAGCATAATTATCTCATCTTCAAAGGTATATAATGACTATGCAAAGAGAAGCTGTATATTTGTGTTACGCAGGAAAATAACATCAAGTACAGTGCACACAGATTATATATATATGTGTGTGTGTGTGTGTGTGTGTGTGTTTGCTGCCACTGTTACAACTACTCGTAGTAATTGATGGTTTCAGTCTCTTCTTTTGAAAGATTCTTTCCTACATCGAGGAAATGAGTCTACTGCCATCTTGAAGATGCTTCCAGTGGCATACGAAAGCTGGATATTACATTATTCAAGTGAATAAGCCAGCACATTGTGTGAAGTCGGCAGAATCTCATCAACTATTATTATTATTATTATTATTATGAATATTATTATTATTATTATTAACATTATCATTATTATAACAATTATCATTACTGTTATTACTATCTATCATTATTATCATCAAAGCCTGAGAAAGACAGGTACATGATATATATAAGGGAAGTACATATATTTATTCAAGGAGATACCAAAAGATAACAGCATAACAATGTAATGCAGTCTAAACTAAACGCAATGAGGCATCTTACTTATTCAAGACATGTATTCCCCATGCACACACACACACACATATACGTATATACATATATATATATATATATATATATATATATATATATATATATATATATTTAAAACCTATGTCCATATATGTACATACGCATATACATACAGG